CAGAAGGAGGGGCCCGAACGACTCACACCAGGACGAGGCGCCCGAACGACTCACACCACGAGGAGCCCGAACGACTCACACCACGACGCGGGCCCCGAACGACTCACACCACGAGGAGCCCGAACGGGTCACACCAGGAGGAGGGGCCCGAACGACTCACACCAGGATGAGGGGCCCGAACAACTCACACCACGAGAAGCCCGAACGACTCACACCAGGACGAAGAGCCCGAACGACTCACACCACGAAGAGCCCGAACGACTCACACCAGGAAGAAGGGCCCGAACGACTCACACCAGGACGAGAAACCCCAAACGACTCAAACCACGAGGAGCGCTTTCTCTCCCTCCTCCTCCGCCTCGTCCTTCTCCCGCTCCCACCACAAGGAGGATGTACAAGGAGGCGGGAGGAAGGAGGACCAGGGGAGATATGCGGGGGCAGGCGGAAACACGCCTGAATTATCCCGGCAAAGCAACCTAACAGCGATGTGTAGGAGCATATCTGGAAGCATTCCCCTTAAGATTCAGATAAGAATCCTGTTGTAGAATTCTGCTGTTCTCGCAGTCGTGGTCGCATTCGCGATGGCAGTCGCAGTGGCAACAGCAGTCGCAGTCACAGCCTCAGCCTCAGCCTGCCTCAGCCTCAGCCTCAGCCTGCCTCAGCCTCAGCCTGCCTCAGCCTCGCCCTCAGCCTGCTTCAGCCTCAACATCAGTCTGCCTTCAGCCTCGGCCTCAGCCTGCCTCAGCCTCACCCTGCATCAGCCTCAGCCTCAGCCTCAGCCTGCCTCAGCATCAGCCTGCCTCAGCCTCAGCCTCAGCCTGCCTCTGCCTCAGCCTCAGCCTGCTTCAGCCTCAGCCTCAGTCTGCCGTCGGCCTCGGCCTCAGCCTCAGCCTGCCTCAGCCTCAGCCTGCATCAGCCTCAGCCTCAGCCTCAGCCTGCCTCAGCATCAGCCTGCCTCAGCCTCAGCCTCAGCCTGCCTCAGCCTCAGCCTCAGCCTGCTTCAGCCTCAGCCTCAGTCTGCCTGCAGCCTCGGCCTCAGCCTCAGCCTGCCTCAGCCTCAGCCTGCATCAGCCTCAGCCTCAGCCTCAGCCTGCCTCAGCCTCAGCCTGCCTCAGCCTCAGCCTCAGCCTGCCTCAGCCTCAGCCTCAGCCTGCTTCAGCCTCAGCCTCAGTCTGCCTTCAGCCTCGGCCTCAGCCTCAGCCTGCCTCAGCCTCAGCCTGCATCAGCTCAGCCTCAGCCTCAGCCTGCCTCAGCATCAGCCTGCCTCAGCCTCAGCCTCAGCCTGCCTCAGCCTCAGCCTCAGCCTGCTTCAGCCTCAGCCTCAGTCTGCCTTCAGCCTCGGCCTCAGCCTCAGCCTGCCTCAGCCTCAGCCTGCATCAGCCTCAGCCTCAGCCTCAGCCTGCCTCAGCATCTGCCTGCCTCAGCCTCAGCCTCAGCCTGCCTCAGCCTCAGCCTCAGCCTCAGCCTGCTTCAGCCTCAGCCTCAGTCTGCCTTCAGCCTCGGCCTCAGCCTGCCTCAGCCTCAGCCTGCATCAGCCTCAGCCTCAGCCTCAGCCTGCCTCAGCCTGCCTCAGCATCAGCCTGCCTCAGCCTCAGCCTCAGCCTGCCTCAGCCTCAGCCTCAGCCTCAGCCTGCTTCAGCCAAAGCCTCAGTCTGCCTTCAGCCTTGGCCTCAGCCTCAGCCTGCCTCAGCCTCAGCCTGCATCAGCCTCAGCCTCAGCCTCAGCCTGCCTCAGCATCAGCCTGCCTCAGCCTCAGCCTCAGCCTGCCTCAGCCTCAGCCTCAGCCTGCTTCAGCCTCAGCCTCAGTCTGCCTTCAGCCTCGGCCTCAGCCTCAGCCTGCCTCAGCCTCAGCCTGCATCAGCCTCAGCCTCAGCCTCAGCCTGCCTCAGCCTCAGCCTGCCTCAGCCTCAGCCTCAGCCTGCCTCAGCCTCAGCCTCAGCCTGCTTCAGCCTCAGCCTCAGTCTGCCTTCAGCCTCGTCCTCAGCTTCAGTCTGCCTTCAACCTCAGCCTGCCTCAGCCTCAGCATCAGCCTGCCTCAGCATTCAAAGTGTGGCCCGGGAATGGAGTTCTGGGAACTCGAAGAACACGAAATGGTCTACAGTTGGCTGCGGGCATTCCAAATCATGCCCAGGAATGGAGTTCTGGGAACTCGAACACCACGAAGTGGCCTACTGTTGGCTCCGGGCATCCAAAATGTGGCCCGGGAATGGAGTTCTGGGAAGTCGAAGAGCACGAAGTGGCCTACAGTTGGCTCCGGGCATCCAAAATGTGGCCCGGGAATGGAGTTCTGGGAAGTCGAAGAGCACGAAGTGGCCTACAGTTGGCTCCGGCATTCCGAATGTGGCCCGGGAATGGCGTTCTGGGAGGTCAAGGAGCACCAAGTGTGTGACTGTTGCATCCGGTTATTCAGAATGTGGCCTGGGAATGGGGTTCTGAGAGGTCGACGAGCACGAAGTGTGTGACTGTTGGTGAAAAACGAGCCCGGCACAGGCCCGGCCGGCAACTCCCAACGCCTGCCCGGACCCCCCTGTGGAGTGATCTGTGAGCTCTTTTGGGTCAACTAGAAACCTATCAGTCTTCGCTGTTAGGTAAAAAAACACGACTGTCGGCATGCTTCGCAAGAGTTGCTGTTTTGAGATGGGCTGGTGGGGATACGCGAAGCGTAAAGAATTTGCAAGAGCTTCACGGATTGAGGGCGGGTGGTTTCAAAATGTGATTATTCGCCTTAGCGCCGCGCAAATTCATTTTCAAAAAATTGCCAGAGCTTCACGGATTGAGGGCAGTTCCTTTTCAAAATGTGGCTCTCGCCTCAGCGCCACGCACATTGTTTGTTTAAAATTGCAGAAAAGTGTCACGGATTCTGGGCGGTTCTTTTTCAAAATGTGGCTCTCGCCTTAGCGCCGCGCACATTATTATTCTTTGTGGAAACTTGCAAGACCTTCACGGATTGAGGGCGGTTGGTTTTCAAAATGTGGTTCTCGCCCCAGCGCCGCGCACATTCGTTCTCAACATGTGCAACAATTTCACGGAATGAAGGCCGGCTCCTTTTCAAGATGTGGCTCTCGCCTTAACGCCGCGCAAATTCGTTTGTAAAGATTTGCAAGACTCTCACTGATTCCCATGATCAACGAACCAAAAAAAGGTGTTTTGGAAGGATTCCCGACTATGCGGGCGCAACACTTATGTTGATTCGCGGTGTTGAACCCCACAAAAAATGCGTTATGGCACGATTCCGGATCGCCAGAACGCAGCAGTCAGGCTGTTGATGCATGCCGTTACACTCCCGAGAACACTGTTTTGGCATGCTTCAGGATCTTCAAACAGTTGTCTTCCAACGAGGCAGGTCCCTCAATGGAAAGGAACCTTTCTAGGGGCCTACGAAGGGAACTTGGGAGGGTGAAGTCCAACATCACTGATGACTCTCAGGCTTACACTGGTCCTCCTCCTCCTCCTCCTGCTCGTCCTCCTCCTCCTCCTCCTCCTCCTCCTCCTGCTCCTCCTCCTCCTCTTCCTCCTCCTCTTCCTCATCGTCCTCCTGCTCGTCCTCCTCCTCCGAATTTTCCTCCTCCTCCGCCTCCTCCTCCTCCTCCTCTTCCTCCTCCTCCTCCTCTTCCTCCTCCTCCTCTTCCTCCTCCTCCTCCGCCTCCTCCTCGTGCGCACGCAGTAGGCGCTCATGAGATCCCCACGAGAGAGAGCCCGCCATCACAGCAAAAACCACGGGAGAACACCCATTAAGACACTTTTCTTGTCACCTCCGACTGGGGGCGACAGCCAGTCGGAGGGCCAGCGACAGGGCGCTCTCTCCGTGGGCGATACGGGTCCAATCCCTGACCACTTCTCTCAAGGTCCCCTGGGTGCCAAGGTTCGGCGAGGAAGGTCCATTCCGGCCCTTGCTTACACTTGCCCCGTTCAAGGCCTCTCAAAACTCGATGGCCCGAAACAATTTAGAAATGGTGGCGCCACCAACTCCGCACAGAGCACACACCATCCGCCGCCTCCCCCCCGCGAGAGTGAAAGGATAGGCCTTGTGTGTGGCATGACCCTCTCTCCGCAGAACCGCGATCGCGATATCGGTTTTACTTTCAACCGACGAGACCACGGGAGAGAGGAGGAATGACTTGCAACAGTGGCTCAGTTTAGCGTAACTTCTTGACTCGTTTGGATACAGGAACGTGCTCACAATTAAGATCGGCCATCGGCGGACCACAAAGGCCGACCCATCGAGTGAGGGTGGAGACAACCTTGAACTGACTTTCAAATCGCTTACGATACTGCTCCGAAACTCTGCTGTACTCGGCGGCCTGCTTAGCGCAATCGCCCGCTAAGTGATTGCCAATCTGGGCACGCGCGGAGATGATGCCAGCAGGGACGTCCGACCGA